TAAATGAGAAAGATCTAGCACACGACTTCTTTCTAGACAAGTTAAGCTTAAAAAAAAATGTATTGTAATCTGGAAGTGTTTAACCCTTCCATTGGCTAAAGAGACAGTTAAGATGAATAGTTTATGCATAAACAAACCTTTGAGTTCTTTCATGGCTTTGGGTTTTAGAAACAAGTAAAGGAGTAAAAGAGGAGTAAAGGATTAGATAGGACTGAAAATTCAGGAAAAGGCTTTCTTGAGGCACGGGAATCAGAATCTGGATGTCTCTAAGTCAAGATTCAGGAGAGCTTTGCTGTCTAGGGAGACTCACAGCTCTGTTAGTTTCAGCAGTGAATCCAGCAGTATACATCTCACATGCAAGAGTGAAGCTCCACTGTGGATAACCAGAAAATGTCTTCAGATACTCGTGATACACTTTAAGTAGAATTAAAGATATTATTCACTAGTGGCTAAGAGTTAGTCAGATTTCATATGTTGTATTTAAATAATCAGCAAGTAATAAAACAGTTGGAGACATTTCTCTGTCTTCTCCAAATACCTGTAAAGCAATCACGCTCCAAAATTATCTTTTTTTTTAATGCATTTAAGTTATATTTATGAACCACTCCAAAGATTAAAAAAGTTTTTGTCTCTTTCGATGGAGCAAAGGGAAATTTCCTCACAGCTCTTGTAGGCGTATTTATCTTCAGGAAGGAAAACTGAAGATTGACAGCTTCTTAGTTTACATATGCTATTGACTTGACTAAGGCATATGCACATGACTTGACTAAGGCATATGGTGACAGATAAATATGCACTGGGATTTATGAACTATTTTGTATAATGGACGTGCGTGAAGACAAATTTTTCCGATCTGTTCTGAGATCTTGCATGCTGAGCCTGTGTCACTACAGATTTGCTGAGCTTTTCCTCTGGAGCTCAGGGTCTCCAGGGTCCCAGGGTCTCGCCTTGTCATAGGGAGAGATTCATTAGTCTGTCTTGTGTGGTAGTTGRAGATCCCCTTGCATGGCCTCACATCATCCTGCCTTGATTTGTGATTAAAACCTCTGCTATTTTGCATGTTTGGTGAAGAGAAACATGTCTGTTACATTTTTGGGGATTTGTTTTTGAATCTCACGGACCTCTTWATTTGGAAATTCCCTTTTTGGCTGTATGTTTTTCTTTACTTTTTTCCCCCTTTCTTAGCAGTTTTAAACTCTGATAGTTAAAAGGGGAAAACTGTTCATTGTTTATAAGATATATAGAGTCAGTCATCACCTCAGTTATATGTCACAGAATAATGCATTATTCTATACTTTTATCACGTGGGGAATAACTTGTGTTTTTTGGGGTTTTTTTGTTTCTTCTTTTTTTTTTTTTTTTTTTTTTTTGGTCAAATAGGGCTTTGTATTTTGGGCGAACACCCACAAAAAGAATTTTGCACAACCCCAATTATGTGAAGACAGAATTGGGTTTAATGGCTTCCTAAATTTTAAAGCTTTGCAGCTGTAGGAACAGTAGTTTAACACATAGCTTTCTATAAGCAGTAGAAGTATAAGCTAAAATGCAAAGCATATTTTTTTTATTGTGGATTGGCTTTGTAGTATTCATACATATGTTCTAAGACCCTGTTAGCGGTAAGAATAAGTAAGAAATGTTCAGAGCTAAAAACTGTTATGATTGCAACGTATTATTATATAATGGTCTAATTCCAGAGCTTTGGAGAGTGTTTATGTGTTTATAGTGTAAAAATTAATTAGCGTGGAGTGTAACTGCCTTTAAAATGTCATTCTCTCAAAACTATGTGGTTAGAAATGTATGCATCACTGAACATACACTTCATTATAATTGAATATAAAAGTTGATTGTTCATTGCATAGAAAATAGCTACTGAGACATTTCACAGCTTCAGAAACAATTATTATCCCTTACTAAATTATGGTAAGATTTTTCATGGGCCAGTAAATTGAAATAATTTTTATTTGAAATGGATTCAGACAAATATTTATGCAGCAGATAAGTGAAATCAGTGATTTAAAGGGCAAGTCTCTAGGCAATACAGAAGCAAAGAGAATTAATGGTACATTCTTGGAAAATACTCATTGATGTAGAGTGGAAACATCATTCCCACAAAGCCGATTGCCCCAGTATTCAGGTGGTAGAGCTTGGTGGCTGTTACGCTGCCATGGGCGGGTAGTACTTTCCCATGGTGCGTAGGCGCCTTTCCCAGAGATTCTGGGCCAGGCTAAAAGTTAAATTGCCAGCTCTTGCTTGCAGTGTGTTATGCTGGAAAGGCAGCTTCAGCAAAGATGATGTGCTTTGGGTCTGCAGTCACAGGGTATGAGTACTGTTACTTTTGTAGATACATTGCTTTCTGAACTGATGGCAGCTCTTGAGGCCTCAAATCAGGTATTTTTTTTCTCTTTCTTGTCCTTCCCAGGCTCTTTGCATTTGTACAAATCCCTAGTTGCTCTAATGTCAGCTCCTAACACAGCAAGCATTTGTTTTCAGGCTTTTCAGTTAAATAAAAATGTCATCAGGTGACAACCTGGACTTCCTGGCACCTTTCTGTAATTGGCTAAATGTATATATCAGTGCCTTTAGCAYTTTCAGTAGGTGATTTATTATTCTTGAGACAGTTTTACAACAACCTRTTTTGGTGATGTGAAGTAGACATTGCATGTCTAAATGCAATCTTTATTGCAAAGTGCTTGAAATCATTCTCAGGATATGCAGCCCACTGCTCTTGCATTTAACTTTCTTGGGAAGAAGTGATTTTACATATAAGCACATGGTTAGTTCTTCAAGTATCTTATACTAATAGAAGTGCAGTCAAGAACATCATCTGCTCAAGGTAGACGAGTTGGCCTTTTTTGCTCAAGTGACTTAATTTTTCCTGTTGCATAAATAGGACCTGGCTTGCATTTCTGGCCTAGGAAAGAAGCCTTGGCAGTTTCCTCAATATTACTGCTCATCTGAGACCAAAATAAATATTACTATCCCTGTTTGTCTGTTTCTTTCAATCTCTAAATAATCCCTAATCTCCCAGTAACACCATGTCTTTAGATCTGACAGTACACACAAGCATCCATGATTATTTAAATATTTCTCCAAAAAAATACCCTTTTTTTTTGCACAACTTGAAATGACGGGTGAACAAATACTGATTTAAGTATGTAGATTTTGTCTCTCTTTTCTTAAGGAAAACAGCGTTCTGGGAAGAAAGAAAAAAAAAGAAAAAAGGACAAATCAAAAATGTACATCATTACAGTGCAGTTGGTCGGTTTTTAAATTGCTCTGTTGCTTTATAAATATATATGGCTTTATTTTGCCTTAGTTAGTCTTGGTTGTTGTTTCCAGTCTCGGTTAAATATTGTAAGAATCAGAAATAGGTAAATGGCCGAAGTCTCTTTTTTTAAGAGACTAAGAGAAAGATGATGTTCACCAACAAGGAGTAAACCTTAAAATCCGGGCTTGTTTTCTGTAGGTGTAGCTCATAGGAGGCATAGCACTTAAAGAGATAGTCCCTAATTTTAGGGATTGAGCATATGCTCCTGCTCTGAGGCAGCRTCCAAAGTCTCAAAAATCTTTGAACATGCTGCAGTCACCTGCTAAAAGCAACACCTGACCACTAGTCCTTTTTGAGCAGTCTGTGGTAAGAATACAAGATGCTCCACTGAGGTAATCGCTCTGATTCTTTCGTTCTGGAAGTTTTTCCTATGCCTGTATTGCATTTCCACATTGGCTCATGGAGAATGGCTTTCCTGGAAATCCAGTGCTTCCTTCACATTATTAGTCCTCTCAGCCTTTCCTTTCCCCTTTCCAAATGCTTGGGCACCTTTGCTGGTCTGGCATCCTTGTGCTCATCAATGCACGATTACTTCCTGCCGCAGAGAAAAAGCTAGTCCTTCCTTTCTCTTGTGCTTCTTGGATAACCAGTGACTCTGGAGCATCCAAAACAATCAAAACTTTCCAGGACAGCAGCACAGAGAAACTCAGCTATAAGCATTTTCTTATTTATGTTGGCAGATTGGCAGCTTGTCATGGTCTGGATCACAGAAGTTTGAATAGAGAGGAGCCTCATAAATTGTATTTCTTTCCCCAAAACTCTAATCAAGCTTGATTTCATGACACACATGCAATTTAAGAATCATGACATTTCGGCTGCTGCTGCTTGACTATGGAGGCTTTCCAGAAAGTGAACAGGTTCTAGAATTTTGTTTATTTATAATTTGCTAGTACAAAGTCAGATTTTGAGGCCCAAAGGAAAGGCAGAAGCTAAAATTAGCTGACCCTAGAACTTCCAGGAAGAACAGTCTGTTACAGTCCAAACTTGACAGATAAAGATAAGTCTTCTGCTTCATTTTCATTCTTAAAGGAAATTTAGAGCCATCACAAATACTGGAATCTTAAAACCTATCTCAGTGAAAACTATTAATACACAGTTATTTAAAATTAACAAGAATCATTTTTCAGGGAAAGAAATGATGGTCATGTTTGTGATTCATCCTGAAACATTCAGAAACATCTGACACTTAATGGAGAGGTATTAGGTATTTCTTTCTGGGAGGTTAGTGTGTCTGTTTTGGGATGAGAAGAACTGAATTTCTCTGGGAGTTGTAGAGGCCTGAATGCCCAGGTTACAGACTGTGAATTAGTAAAGATGAATCCTATCTAGAAATCTGTGGGTCAGCACAGTGTTTGCCTAAAGTTGTATCTGTGTCTTATGTGTATTTCATTTTATTTTGTTTAAACAAGCCAAAAAAGTCTCTACTAATATCTTGGAGTACCTTCAAGTCAGGCTTCAGGTACCAAGAATACAGTAATGCACATTACCTTTTCCAGTCCATAAATTGGGAGAGTGCATAAATGTTACTGAAATTTTTGCTGGCTTTGCATACTTAGGTGCGCTATATTCTAAGCTACACTGCAAGAGCTTTCCTTGCTCTTGCTCTTGCCCTTTCTATTAATCAAATGAGAAATACTATGACAAAACCTTCAGTGATTTCTTTTTTTCTCAGATCTGAACTGTATTCTCTTGTTCCACATTGTTTGGAGTCTCTAGTTGTCCATCTGAAGAATGAATGATGAAAGGTAATGTGAGTTGAAGTATATGTTTCTAAAACTCATTCTGTGAATTGGAAATGTAATTTATACCATCCTATGGGTCTCACAGAGCTTTGCCAAAATGAGAATTTTGCTGGAAAACTGTGGAGACAAGCTGAACTCCAATTGAGACTAGGCTGATGCTGAGCTAAACTAATGCCYATCTCTTTGGGCATCTCCTTTCTAATTACAGCCCATTGCCTGAAATAATCATTTTGCAGAAATGGACAAAATAGAAACTTCCTGATTCCAACTAGTCACCAGACTGACTTATTTTACTGGTTCTGGCTGAACAGATCAGGATGATGAACACATATCATGTGTGTGAATACTACCATTTTCCCTATGTGTAAAAAAAATGTAAAAAAAAAAAAAAAAAAAAAAAAAAAAAAAAAGGTAACTCCACTGAGGACCTTGTCTCAGGCAAAATACAGCCATCTCTTTTCAAGCCTGCACAATCAAAGATTGTTTTTTACCATTTTACTAAAATCTCTCATGAAGTCAATTTAGTCTGTTGGAGAGATCATCTTTCAATCAATCCTGTTCTTGATTTAGTCACTTAAAAATACATCAGGGCGATTGTTTAGCTCTCTGTTTAGAATTGCCTGTTGAAACCATGGTGAAAATTGACTCAACCAAATATTGGGATGTCTAGCATAATTTTTACATGTGAAATATAGGGTGTGAGTCTCTTAAAATTTTTAACTGTAGAGATTGATGCAGAAAACTTTGCCTCCCCCTGATATGAGTGCTAGTTATTAGTCCCAAGTTGATTTTTTAAATGTTACAGTCAACTTTGATGATTTAGCCTAGATGAAATGAAAGACACCGCTTACACATGAAAATTGAACATGAAGATAACTGTTTACATTCTTTGCTCATGTGGTCTTTATTTTGTTTAAATGTCTTACTGTGAAATCTCAATCGTGACATAAGAGGTTAYTGTGCTAATGTATTCCCCTGACTCCTTCCTGTTGCCTGAGGAAAGGAAGAGATGGAGAGACAGTACACCCTTGTGACCTAGCTGCTGGCTTTAGGAAACAGAATTTTGCCTGATTTTCCTGAAATAAAATAGGATTTTAATTTATTTGGTGTATTACAACATAACAAGAGATCTGTCTGTGAAAGATTACTTTTTTTTAGACAATGGAATCTTCACTCATTAGGTGACTGCATATCACTCTGGAGCTTGGAAGAAGTTGCTACCTTCAGAGACAGAGATGTATTGTCCCATTCTTTAAGATGGAGATCTAGTGTAGAGAAATGTGTAATCACAGTGATGATTGTTCTTACCTGATTTAGTTTACCTAAGTCAAGGGCTCTCAGGTGGCTGCATAAAAGCTTTGTTATTTATGTCCCATTTTCCTACAAGATATGTTACCTCTGTTAGTAGCATTTATCCCTATTGTGATATTTTAATAAGATCAAGTCCTGAAACTTGGTTTTACATCATATATGKGTGTGTGTGTGTTTTGTTTAGGCAATGTGTTGGTCTGCTTATAAAGGTAATATGGGAAAAGTGTTTTTGCTGTGAGACCATTTCCATTTCTTGATATTCTCAGTATTTTTCTATAAATTTACTACTTGCCTCTCTGTTATGATTTTTCTTAACAATAGTGACCCAAGGAGTACAAACTCTACGAGGAAAGCAAATTTGAACATGAAAAGATTTCCCCTCCGAAGTGAATCATCACTTCTGTACTTTTGGGATCACAATCCATTATCATTTTGCACATGTTAAAGCAGTTTCTGCAATTGATGGCATGCTGTCTGTATAATAGAATTCAGAAGATTTTTAAGCTATTCATCTGTGTACGTATGTTTTACATTATCTCATGAAGTTTAACAGAGGATTGGCAGTGTCTCTCTTGAGATTGTAAAGGACTCTTCCATAATGGTTGCACACAATTAGATCCCATTGCTTACAGACAACTGAAGGTTGATTCACCTGTTAAAGGCTACACAAAAGGTGCAAGGTGCATAGTGYGAGTTTAGGAGCTTCATTTACAGTAGGATTGAATTAGGCATTTAGTCATAGTGCTTTAATTAGCCAGCAGTGGAAGAGACTAGACCAGAAGGAAAAACAAAAGCCATCCCTGTCAATGAGTACAGCTCACAACTTTTATAACTTGCTCCACAGATAAATGAGAGTGGCCTAAGCCCTTGTTATTTGCCTATTTCTTCTTGCTCTAATTATCTCCCATCTTTTTTTTCCTTTTTTCTTCTTTTCTTTTTTTAACAGCTGAAGCAATTAAATTTCACCACACTTATTGAGAAGAACSAAAAATGCATTGCTACCACGTTGGACTTGTCAGGAGAGAATCACTGGATTATATCCTTGTCATCTTTTTTTCTTCCTGAAAGGCTGTCTGGAGATGCCAATGAGGAATTTTACTTGAAGGAGTTATCCAGAGTGKCACCTCAGAGTAGTATTAAGCAGTGGTAGAGTGGTTTATTTTGTACTTAATGGAGGTGAAAAGCATAATGGCCATCCTTACTGATGACAAAATGCCTTTTGACTCAGTTTTGAACATGTTTTGATTTAGAAATCCAAGAGCTAAGGTTCCGCTCCTTTTAAGGATTTTCACCTCTTGGCTATTCTAGGGGGAAAGAGGAGAGAATGAGAGGGGAAAGGTTCCATTTTGAATCTCACTCACTATAACTCATTCATTAAGTTTGAAAAAGGCTACTTCTGCTGCCTATTATGCAGAGCTCCCTAGAGAGCTAGTGTCCAAAGTTCACTTCCCTTCTCTAAGAAACCAAAGCAGTAAGCAAAGGATATGCCTATGCCATTGTCCCTCTGCCCTCTTTTTGCAAGAAATTTGAAGGGTCTTGACTTCATCCTGATTCAGACAATGCTTAAAAGCTGCATGGGGCAGGCAGATTGTTTCTTGCACAACTTGATCTTAAAATCTTGCAGGGTAGAATCGTTATTTATATTCTTGAATCTTCAAAGGTGTGATGGTGAATATAACAAATATCTATTTCTGTATGTTATAGTGCAAATATTTAAATGTTTTCAGTTTTATTTCAGTTTATTTATTGGAGTTAAATATTGATTCAGTGCTGAACACTCATGAAGTTCATTGAGTCAGCTGTAGCATTAAAATTTGTCAACATCTAAATGGAATTTAAAGTACGACGCTCGCTATATAGAAACTATAATGCTGCTTAAATTGAATACAATTATTTAATACTGTAAGTTATATGTTAATACTGTAAGTTATATGTTGTAAACATACCCTGGATACAATTTTAGAACCTCTTGTATTTCATAGTTACGAAACCTAAGACTGATGGATTAAGAACAGTCTTATAATGTGGATTCTCTTACAAATCTAGTATTGTTCATGAAAGTCTTTAAATACAATTTAAAGGCACCCTAGCAGCATACATGTTCCATATTTTTTGATGCAGCAGTGCAAGAAGTTATTTAAAGCTTTAGGTATTCTAGGTATTAACTGATTTTTTCATATTTTAGAATCTGCATTTGTAACCTACACTTTTTCAGTAGTGTTCTTTGGGAATGCTATGCCTTCAGATCTGTCAGGGAGCATTCCCTGTAGTAGGATTTTTGAGAACTATAGAAGATACAGAATAAGGAACTGTGCAAGAGGAAGAGTGAAGAGAATGAATAAATTCGGGACAAAAGAAGAAGAACTCTAAAGCATGGGGAGATGGGTAGATTTTTATTTTATAAAGAGTGTTTTGCCTAGCTCTGGACATGCTTACTGTAGGACTTTTATTCCAAAATGTTCCTAGCCATTTATTATCAGCACGTTTTGAAGTCTCAGGTAATACTGTGCAGGTTTTATTGCAGATTTTATTTCTCACTTTCTGTTAGTGAATTCTATGGAGTTATGAGCTTTTTCATTCTCAGTTTTCCAAAACTTCCAACAGATGTCCTGCCAGCAGCAAGGATGATTAAAGGTTTCTAAAAAAGTGGGCTGGCTCTGGAAATCAAAAAGGGATACCATTGCAATGCCAAAAATCTTTGGAAAATATGTATGACCCCCTTATTACTGGAAGTGTATATAGCCCCTTTCTGAAAAAGTCTTGCACGGTAGAGCTACTTCACTGTACTTAGTATTTTCTTGGATTGGAATAGGCAAATGAAAGTGCTACAAGTTAGGATGAGAAGAACTTGAAAAAGGATAAGCTTGGGAAAGCGTTGTATAGAATTTACAAATATTCCAGAAAATTGCATGTCAGACACTGTCTGAATATACTTTTAGTTTCTCTTTCTAGGATTTTAGTTGGTCTCAAACTTTTCATATTACTCCTCTGGACCATTTCCTTCTGGCTCAGAGTTTTGAATAATTTTTCTKCCTAATGCAGACTTCATTATTGTAATTAATTTGCTTTTCTCCTTGAAATTAAATTAATGAAACATCCTTTACTTGGTATATGAAGCGTTGTTTGATTCATATTCATCATCAGAGTCACTGCAACTGAAAAGTTTGAACATTACATGAATGTATGAATAAACAAAAGAGCGTATTTTCATACACAATACATTACAATGACAAAATTTCTGTACTTCAATTTATTGAAAAGAATTAGTGCAGTTTTAAAGGGATTACATGACGTAGTGCCCAACACTATGAGGAACTGGATTCAACCCAGGAGGATAATATCCTGTCCTACATTTACCTCTCTAGTGTAGTATGCCATACAAATAGAAAAAAAAACAATTTTCAAGGCTTAAATATTCAGATTTTCTTCTTATCTGTTTAAGTAATGGAAAGGTCTTCACCAATATCCAAGAGTTTATGATCTTTCATGACCCCTTTTTTTTTTTTGTTTTCAACAGACTGTTTTAACATTGCAAAATTGCAGATTTTTTAAAATTTACTCAACTTATGCTATTGGGTAAAAGTCTGTTTTGAAAAGAATGCTACCTGAATGTTTCATAGAAAAAGAATCTGTTTTCTCTTAGGTCTGTTCCTTATAATGAGGACATTAAGGAATTCTGAGAGGATTCCCAAGATTTTTATTCATCTTGAAGCACTTTTTCCTTTTAATTATTCACTATACATCATTCCTTAAGTGACCTTCCGGAATCAGCATGTAAAATGCTTCTTGCCTTTACTCCTGTGATTGTCTAGCATGTAGCAATCACTTAACTTTTCAGAATATCCATGGAAAGATAGAGAAAGAGATGCATGTTTTGTTACTGCTGTTTTACTGACAGTTAGGTAATACTCTTTAAGGAGATACATTCTCTATTCAAGCAGCRTACAGAACTATGCTGAAACAATTATCTAACATTGCAAGATGTTGAAAAGGAGCTTAAAAATACCCCAGTGCAAGCCACATAAGCAGCTCCTTTTCCTCTTTCCGTTTCTTTTCCAGATAAGTCTCAGTTAAAGACATCTTTACCTTACTGCTCAGGAATGTTCTGTTTGAAGCAAACTCAGCTAATCCATGAATCATTATGGAACAATTTACAGTATATGTAGATCTCATTCCATACCACAATATGAGGGAGACTTGCAAATATCTTTTTTTTTTTTATTTTTTTTTTTTTGTTATTTTCACATGTGTGCAATACTAATGGTACAATTTTTTTTTTTTTAATAATCGAGTACAGTATAAATAGCTTAAACTAAGTCTTAATGCTGAATCACTCATGAAGTGAACAACTTTTGTAAGCTCACTTGAAAAAAATGTTCTTGCAAAGGGTTTTCATCACAGGGCTGCAAAACAAATAAGGCCTGGTCCACCCAAGCCCTGCAATTTTCAGTGYATTAATATTTAAATTGAGTCAGTTGCTGTGGAGCTCACTGTTGATGGGAACTGTTGCAGTGAGAACTATAGGCTTTTGATTGCATATAAGGTCTAGCCTGCCCAGAAAATTTCAAAGCTTTTACAGTTTTTTTCCAAGATGCAGATATATACATTAGCGTATTTAGTGTTGTTTCTGTTGGAAATGAATTTGAAAATCTCTGACTGCCATACATTCATTTTATTTAATTGAAAACAAGTTTATTTTTCCCTGGGCTGAACTGGAACCAAAAAGATTTGGCCTTTGCTATTTGCTACCAAAATCTTCTACAGGTAGTTTAATGGCAACATTGTGATAGAGCCAAGCTTGTCTTTAACGTTTCTTCCTGCAATTTCATAGAGCTGGGGCCAGGCCTTCAATTGCAGTACTCTGCTGAATTGAAGCAATTAGCAGCAGCTGCAGCTCTGGCCTCTAATCAAAAATAAATCCTTGGATTTTTGTCCTAGAGTAGATACCATTTCGCTCAAATCAGAGGAGACTCAAGAAGTGCATGCGAATGATTGTAATAGTGCTTGCTCTTTGAACTGTCTTTGCACTTACAACACTTACTGATAATTTTAACTCGTTATGGGAACACAGCATCAGAACAGAGTGTCTGACAGAGCAAAGCACAATATAGTGGGTAAGTGCAGAGAGAGGTGTCAAGGAAAATAATGCAGCAGTTTTAGCTGTTGTTAGATGAATTCTGTGAGAGGAGAAAGGATGTAAGCAAGCATCAGCAAGCCCCGGGGTTCCTCAAATGTGAGAATAGTTGCAGGATGAGACGTAGAAATGTTATGATCCAGGAGGAAGTGCATATTCTCTTGTATGAAGAAGTGTTGATTCCCGTAGTTCTGTTATGTGGTTATCAAGTCTAGTCTTGGTTGTGGTATTGAGATGCTTCATAGAAATGTCTGYATGCCTTAATACTCTAAATGTTTCATTTGGAAATGGAGGCCAACATTATTTTTAAAACACTCTTAAAACATGTAAAAGCAAAAATTATGGTTAAAAAATAACAGTTATCACTTTTAAGAAGGACAGCTGGATTTAATTATTCACCGTGACAAAAATACTTACTAAAAGCAATACAGAATTAGGGACAGGTAGACAGTATCGAAAATTGTCAGTCAAACCGATTTAGCTTTGCAATGTTGCAAGCAATTGAAAATAAAGTCTTACAGTGCAAGTCTTTACATTCAAGAGAATGTAAATGTTAAATTCTATACCTACCTATGAAATCACTTTTTTTCTGCAGCATTTTTTGGTTTTCATTGACTTTGTCGTTGTCTTAATATTATCACATTGGTGAGAAAAACAAAATTTGGAATCTAATTTAAGATTCAGTTGCAGCCCTTGTACYTTTCCTGGAGTTAAACAGTATCCCTTTCATTTGTAATTGTCTTTGCCATTCATCTATCAGACTTTATATACATACACACATACATATATATATATATAAAAGGAATAATTCTGTCTAGCCTGTGGATGCGCATAAACTTTCTTGTCACTGTACTTCAAAGCATAAAAGGGATAATAAAGCAGTTGAGGAAGCAAGTGATGAA